AAAAACCAAAAAAAAAAAAAAAAAAAAAGACTGTCCTCCCAGAGAGCCGTTAGGATGCACAGTGGGTGGAAAGGGAGGGGTGTCGTAGAGCTCATGAATTGGTAACGAATGTGAGCCGCTCCGGTCCGCGCCTTGGAGGAGGCTGGGCAGAGGCGTCCTGTGGTGGGCAGAGCTTGCTGGGACACTTTGTGAAGTGCAGCGGCATCGGGAGAGCAGATGCCAAAAGGATAAGCTTGGAAGGCCGGGCATGGTGACTCATGCCTGTAATCCCAGCACTTGGAAGGCTGAGGCAGGAGGATTGTTGTGAGTTCGAGACCAGCCTGGGCTACAAAGTGAGCTCAAGAGCTGCATGTGGGCCTTTGGTCCTCTATACAAGAGAGTAGCTCGACTCTAGGGTGAAGGTGGAGAGAGACAGTAAACGAAGGAGAGAAATTGTGACTAGGAGTTGTGGGAGAAGCCCGGTGCCTGCTTGCGGTAGTAATACTCAGTAAACTTCCAGCCTGTACCAAGTCGCCTTAGTGATACGGCCCTGGCTTGTCTTGGCCAGTGTCTTCTCTGCCCCCAAACTTCGGCTTCTCCAGTAACTTCTGTGCACCTGGCTTGCAGTAGAGAAGATAGAAGCAGGTATTTATCAGCGCAGCCCTGGAATTCACGTAACACAGTGTGATTAAAGCATGTGGTCCGGGGCTCCCAGTTCTGGAAAGAGAAGTCTCTCTGCTTTTTACTGTTGAGTAGCAGCAGGCGGAAGTAAGTAGAACTAGCAGTATGCCGGAAAATACGTAGAGGTAGTGGACTGCAGCTGAGGGAAGAGTGTCTTGGAAAACAGTCCCTGCTTCTGAACCCAGGAAGTGGAAACAGCAGGTGCAGTGACAGCTGTAAGACCACACGGTGATGTTTGTGTTTAAACAAATGTTTTACATCTGCACAAGAGTAAATCTGAACTGTGGCCTACACTTGGGTCTCCCGACCATTTGGCTCCGGGAGACGGATTTGTGGGTCGGTTTCCTGTGCCCCGGGAGGGAGACGCCTCCTTTCATTTTGCACTCGCCCTTCTGGCTCCTGGTGTTCTTCCTTTCCTTGTTCCCCTATTCCTGGGGTTGATTTTAAAGTTAATATTTGGGGCTGGGGATTTAGCTCAGTGGCACAGCGCCTGCCTGGCAAGCGCAGGGTCGTGAGTTCAATTCCCGGTACCGGAAAAAAAAACAAAAAAAAAAAAGTTAATATTTGCTGTAACCTACGTTTATATTCTAGTGCTAGTGAGTGTCTCCAGCTTGAGCACACTGAGAGGCTGAAATAAAACCGCGAGAGCACGGAACATGCTGGTGATGGTCACGACGTGCAGTCAGCAAAACTGATTGGATTTTTTTGGTGTTTTTTGGAAAAGATCAAATTCTTTTTTTTTTTAATTTTATTTTATTTTTTATTTTAAAGAATAAAAGAAGGATAACATAATAATGGGGGGACTTAGCAAATTACAGACAAAATGGTAGGAAATTATCAATGGTTATCTTTTTACATATTATTATCTACAAAATAGTTTCTCAGGAAAACAAATAGACAAATAATAGTGAGTTAGAGACAAATGAGGTAGGAGATTATCAAGAGTTGTTGTGCTATACTTTGGTATGGAAAAGATCAAATTCTTTGCTTTTAAATTTTAGTTTGGACCTAGGGAGAAATAAGTGGATTAAAAACTCGTCAAGATTTGGAGTGATACAGTCTTACACTTCTTAAAATCTTTAAGTTGAACTGTTGAGAAATTCTAGCCTATGATTTTGTAATATTAATTAAATTATCTTCTTAGGATTAGAACTTTAATAGCTATGCAAAGAGCTTTCAGGGAAAGAGTTGTTTATTTATGTTTTTGTGGTGCTGGGGATTAAAGCCAGGACCTTTGCACCAAGCTACATCCCCAGCCCTTTTTTACTTTTTTTTTTTTATTTCTAAATTGGTCTCACTAAGGGTCAGGCTGGGCTTCCGTTTGTGATCGTCCTGGCTCAGCCTCCCCAGTTCTGGGATTATAGGCGTGTGCCCCCACACCTGGCCTCACGTTTTCCTGTCTGAAAATTCGTGTGCTTTCCAAGTTTAGGTCCGTATGTGTGTGGTTTTCTGTTGCATCCAGGAAAGAGAATGCCTTTTTTTGTAGGCATGTCTGCCTGCTCTTTCAAGCATTGTCACCCAAAGGTTGAGAAGAGAGGTGCAGATGTGAAGGTGTACGTTTTAAATTTGATTAGTTGATAGAAAAGCCAGTCAGGACCCTACTCATAGTCTTTTGTGTGATTTTGCAAATTGGGACAAACACTGCCTATTTATACTACTGGAAAAGATGAGAAAACGGAGGTCTTATGTGTAAGTAATTTGAAATTGATCTAAGTATGTTCCATAATTTGGGAGTTACATTTCTCTCTTAATTTTGTTTCCTTCTTTCGAAGGACAGAAATTAATAAAATGAGAGGGAATTAATTTTAATCGTGGTTCAGACCCTATGTAAAATGATATTTCATGATTAAATTTCCACATCACATTAAACAACATACTTTTCCTTTTCCGTAGACTTGTGTGCGAGACAGAGCCATTCTCTCTATCCTGGCCGTTAGGAATATCAGCAAGGACATCGCTGAGAAGGCTGTTGATGAAGTTTTTGAATCCTGTTTCCATGACCACGAGCCCTTTGGACGGATCCCGCACAACCAGACTTATGCGAGATACGCTCATAGAGACTTTCAAAACCGCGATCGCTACTACTCAAATATATGAAGACGACGACGTCTTATATATCACGTCTTATATATCACGACGTCTCTATATCACAGAGCCTCAGTGATCATGAAGAAACAAATATAATTCTCAAGTGAACAAATTTGTAAAATGTAAAGGATGAATTAAATACAGACAAAATCCAGAATATGCTGATGTTAGCATATGATCAGGAATTTTTTTTTTGGTCTTTTTGAGACAAGGTCTCACTATGCAGTTCAGGCTGGCCTTGAGCTCACTTTGTAGCCCAGGCTGGTCTCTAACTCGCAACAATCCTCCTGCCTCAGCCTCCTGAGTGCTGGGATTACAGGTGTGCGCCACTACGCCCAGCTGTTTTTTTTTGTGGTACAGAGTATCGAACTCACGACCTTGCACTTGCCAGGCAGGTGCTGTGCCGCTGAGCTAAATTCCCAGCCCCCCAAAAAATGAAATGATCTTAAACTCCAAGGCAAAAATGGTAATTTTATAGTGTATCTATATCTACTTTATTTGATAAATAAGATATATAAATTACACTGTATTTTCTACAATGTATTTTTGTTTTTAATATTTATATTATTGTTTTTATTACTGGAGATTATTTCACAATTTGGATGTGAAACCTATGAAATCATGATTGGTAGAGCTGATTTCCTGGATGATGGTAGTCAGAGTTGACTTGTTTACATTAAATGTAAAGGGGCGTGAACTGAGCTTCCTGTGACATGTTTGTGTGGATGTCATGAGCGGCACATGGCAGGAATGAAAGTTGGGGTAATTCGTTCAGTGGTCGCTGCCATTTTCTCGCTGTTCTTTCAGTATGTCTGTGGGTGTGGTATGGCTAAATTTTGTGGGGGACAGTTCTGATTTCTTAGTAGAGATACATTAAATTTTTTTCAATCAGATTTTATTGGTACATTTTAGGTATAAAGAATGATCACATTCATCATAGAGAATTTGCCTGTGTACACGATACAACTTTTTCCCCCGTTCCCCTCCCTTCCCTTCAACCCCTCCTCCTCCCCATTCACAAAAGCTTTGTTTCCATGTTTCCCTTCTTTTCTCTCTTTTGTTTAGAAGACTACTTTTATTTTTTTATTTTATTTTATTTTTTGGTCTTTTTGTCTGTTTGAGAGAGGGTCTCGCTGTGCAGTTCAGGCTGGCCTTGAGCTCACTTTGTAGCCCAGGCTGGCCTTGAACTCACAATGATCCTCCTGCCTCAGCCTCCCGAGTGCTTGGGAGTACAGGTGTGCGCCACCACGCCCGACTGCATCTTTCACCTGCTCCCGGAAAAGCGTCACTTGGATTACATCCAGCTGATTAGCACTGTGAAGAAAGTGAAGTTAGCAAGATTCTTTTGAAGAATTTAAACTGTGATTAAATACAGATTATAAAGTGCAGCCCCTAGTAATTTATTAGACAATCAGAACAAGGTTTAGGTTCCAGGATGGGTAGAGGAAGAAACATCAGAAACCTGCCTCCCACCCCGGCCACACTTGCACATAAGAGAATCTCTGAGGTGCCTGTTTTGGAACCTGAATTCGCTGAAGGCTTGTGACTTTCAGGGAAAAGCCTGGATGGGGAATTACGGATCATTTCAGTCAATTTCAGGCCTCAGCTCAGCAGCATCTACTGATCCCCACTCACTAGTCCCACGACAGGTGCTATTCATGTGTTCTTGGAGCAGTTTGCACAGAGCTTGTAGGAGGCCAGGGCGAGCAGAAAAGGGCCATGTGCCCCAGCTGTCAGGGGTCTGGGCCCAGGGCTCGCTGCTCCTGATCACAGAGGTGCGAAGAGGTGGACAACCATTGTTGTGCGTCCCCGATGGCTGCACACCCCTCTCACCCAGAATGAAGTGACTGCGGGTTTCACAGGCGTGAGTCTTCCCCTTTTATTTTTCACTTCCTCCCTTTTTGGGGCCCAGAGATTGAAGACTAGAAGTTCAGAAGAAACGTCAGGCACTGGGGAAATAGAGCCACTGAAGATGCCCAGAGGAATGCACAGTTTCAGGAAGGTCTAAAGTGTCTTCTCCAGGCTGATCAGTCCAGGGAATACTGACACCCATGAAAACAAACCAGCACGTCCCAAAGAGAAGGGTGGTCTGATTTCCACATTATGTAGTTCAGATGTCCTGTTTTCAACAAGAATCACGAGACACACAAAGAGACAGGAAAATATGGCCCATTCAAAGGAACAAAATAAAACAAGAATAAAAAAGAGAAATCATACCTGAAAAAGACTTGATTGTGTATTTCCTAGAGGACAGTTTTCTAAAAAAGAGTATGTCAGTATGTTTCCCAGGCTGGCTTCAAACTCTTGTGTTCAAGTGATTCTTCTGCCTCGGCCTCCCAAGTAGCTGGAACTTAAAAGGTGTATACTATTCACCTGGAGTTGTCTTAAAGATGGTCAGAGAACTAGGGGAAGACTGAAGAAGGTCAGTAAAACTAAATGATAATGTGAAAGATAGAGAAAAAAAGCTTGGTGTGGTGTAATCTGTAATCCTAGCACTCTGGGAGGCTGAGGCAGAAGAATTGCAAATTTGAGCCTGTCCTGGGCATTTAGGGACTTAATGAGACCCTGTCTCAAAATTTGAAAAGTGCTGGGTGTGTTGGTTTGGGGTTATTTTGCAAGGGGAAACATACAATACAGGACACATATTTTATAAGATTTATTTATTTATTTATGCATGCTTTTTTTCTGGTACTGGGAATCGAACTCACAACCTTGTTCTTGCCAGGTAGGCGCTGTGCCACTGAGCTAAATCCCTAGCCCCAAGATTATAATAGTTACCCAAAGAATCATATACAGGAGAGTGCAGGAAATCTGTCCACACACTAAGGACCAAAGAATCCAGCTGAGGGCCTGGATCCCGTGGTAATGTCCTGCGTGAGTCCAGCTGAAGACCTGGAGCCCATAACAATGCCTCCCACGAATCCAACTGGAGGCCCAGAGCCCATAACAACATCTCATGCAGGCCTGTTTCACGGATCTGCGCTGGGAAGGCCCAAAGGTCAGTGGTGGAAGCTAGAAAGTCTGTGCCAGTGGGATGAAGGAGCTGTGCTAGCAAGCTGAGGGATCTGCACTGGAGTCAGGGAGCAATGCTCCAAGTAAGAGCCAGAACTCCCCTGAAAAATACCACAGCCATCCTCAGCAACAGTGAGGTCCTGAGCTCCTCTGATGATCAGGACAGCCGAGTTCCCATCAGCAAAGCCAATGCAGCAAGCTTTCTCCAGGAGACTGAGCAGTGCCCCATCATCCCCTCCAGAGCCAGGAAGCGATGCTCAGAGTGAGGACCAGAGCTCCCCCAAAGTGAACCAAAGCCATTCTCTGTGACGACAAGGTCCCAAGCTCCCTGGAGGATGAAAACAGCCAAGTTCATCAGGAAAGACAGCATGATGAGCTCCTCCAAGAGAACCAACAGCTCCTTCCAGCTTCTCTCTACTTCCAGCAGGCTCCCAGCAGCTTCTACCAGCTCCCAACAGCCTCCTCAGTTCCCAACAAACCAACTTCTCCAGTTCTGCCTCTTATGCTGCTGGCAACAGTCCCCAGGTGGGCCTCCCACTCCCGGCACCATGCTTGCTCAGTTCAGCTGGGGGTAATAAGTTGACCACCAGCTGTCAGCCCACCACACTGGGGATGTAGATCAGTGTGAAAACCCTGCATTTAATCCTTAATATTGAAAACCAAAAATAAAAAGCTAATATCTAAAGCTGAAAAGTACAGTAACTGAAATCATAAATTCACTAGAGGGATTAAAGGCAGATTTGAGAAGGCAGAAGAGAGAATCAGTGAATCTGAAGATAGGACCATGGAAATTCATGTGTCTGAGGAAAAAAAAAGCTTAAAGAAAAGTGAACTGAGCCTAATGGACCTGTGGGACATTGTCAGACCAGCATAGACATTGTTGGGGTCCCAGAGAATATTTGAGGAAATAATGGCTGAAAATTGCTGAAATTGGGTGAAAAACATGATCAACATTAGCAAGCTTCATGAACTCCATGTAGGATGAACTCAGACATTAAGATAGTATAATCAAATCATCTAAAGATATAATTTTGAAGTAGCAGAAATGACTCATCACATGCAAGGAAGCCTCAATAAGGTTATAATCAGAATTTTCATCAGAAATTTGAGGACAGAAGTGAGTGGTACAATTAAAGTGCTAAGGAAAGAAACTACTAACCAAGAATTCTATATGTTGCAAAATTATCCTTTAAAATTTGGGAGAATTAAGACATTCTGAAAAAAAAAAATTAAGACATTCTGTTTGTTTTCTTTTTTGGTACTGGGAATTGAACTCAGGACCTTGTGCTTGCCAGGCAGGCACTTATGCCACTGAGCTATATCCCCAGCCCTAGAAATTAAGACATTCTGAAATAAACAAAGCCTTGGTTACCACTAAACATACCCTGCAAGATATACTAAGATGGGTTCTGTAGTTTGAAATTAAAGCCGGGTGTGGTGGTGCATGCCTGTAATCCCAGCACTCGGGAGGCTGAGGCAGGAGGATTGTTGCAAGTTTGAGACCAGCCTGGGCTACAAAGTGAGCTGAAGGCCAGCCTGAACTGTATAGTGAGTCCCTATCTCAAAGAGACCAAAAAAAAAAAGTTAAAGGATATTAGACAATAAATTGAAGAAATAAAGATTTTAAGCACTAGCACTCTGAAAGGATCACAAGTTCAAGACCAACCTGGGCAATTTAGCAAGATCATGTCTCAAAATAAGTAAAAAAATGGGCTGGGGATGTAGCTCAGTGTGAAGGCCATGGGTTCCATCCCTAATACAACGACAGAAAGTTGCTTTTTTTTTTTTTTTCAGTTAAGTACATGGACAATGATAAGACTAGTCTTATTTTTACAATGACGTACAACTTCAGTTTCTGTTTTCTACATGAATTAAGAGAATAATACATGAAAAATGATTAAAAGCTAATAGTATACTTTGGTTTATAACTCTATACTTTGTTTTCTGCCTAATTTAAGAGATTAATACATTATAATTATAAATTACATTTTTGGACACAATGTATAAAGATACAATTTTATAATGTCGGTGAAAGGGTTGAGGATGGAGCTGTTAGGGGAACACTGTTTTTGTATATTACTGAAGTTAACCTAGTTTGTTTTGGTGAGACACTGTCTCACCGTGGCCTTGAACTCACAATGTAGCCCAGGCTGGCTTCAAACTCAAGGTGATCCTCCTGTCTCAGCCTCCCTAGTGCTGGGATTAC